TCAAGTAACAAGCCAAGGCTCCAGAGAACGTCGGTAGCTCTCCACTAATTATCATCTCAAGCAGCCTTGCTTGGAGCAATTAGTGAAGTCAATAAATGAAAATGCACCATGAATGAACTAATTACAGCTAAAAGTACCGGCGTTCTCTGCGGTCTTGGCTTGTTGTTTRAGGCTTTTGGTGCGACAAAGATTCCTGAAATAGGTGTATGTTCCCTGTTGTTTTTTTTACGTGAATACTGTATTTTATTTGAGAAATAAACAAGGAGGTCAAATTGAAACAACCAAAAATAGGAACCCTGTGTGGTAACATTCCCTTTTCAAGGCTGATTAAAGAAAGGGGAATGGGGAAATAGCAGATACTTTTTCAAATAAAATAGAGTTCTCTGTAAATAGTAGTCTAAAAGCTACTAGAGTGCCAACCATATATCCATGAAAAAGTATGGTATAATTAGTACAAAATATCATCAATGAAACAATTGAAAACAAAGAAATAGGTGTGTTTAGTGCTATTTAGTTTTTGTGCTATTTCACGGATGTATAGTTTGCGCTTTTACTATGAAAAAATAGTAATTCAAATCAGTTTAACATACAAAATCTATTTATGAGTCATTGTATTACTCTTACCGCTTTCTGTTGGACGGAGAAATAAGCTTCATTTCATCAAAGCCATCGGCATCGCTTAACGGAACACAGGCATTGAAATCGATACTATAAGCCCCATTAAGAGCCTTTCTTTGTCGAGTCTTGCGCCTGTATAAACAGAAAAACAAATCAGATTTTATTGTCAGATTTTATTATCACTTGTCCCTGAACTTCCAAAAACCGTCTCGCTTTTCCATATTGAAAACTTGATATTTTCTTTTGACCTTTATCACGTAGCTGCATGCCAAGGCTGGAACAATAGAATTTTAGCTGTGTGGCCTTACATTCTAGTGTTCAAGTACGATATTACATGGGTCTAAGCAAAGGTTTTTAGTATTGTCATGGGAAAAAACATGGCGTCGTGTGATCAAGTTCCATAGACCGAAAATGACGTCAGTAGAAAGAAAGAAACCGTGGGAAGGTTATACAGTGAGTTAGCCGTTGCCCTGACTTTGGTCAGCCCAGAGTTAGTTTGTTTCAGGGTTTAGATAACATTTGGAAGGTTATATTCTGATCAAGTTTACCTTCTGTTTCTGCGAGCCAGAATAATTAAAACGATGATAACAATCAACAGGAGGATAATAAGAGCGACACCAGCTTTTCCTAGAGGTTCTTTCCACGTGTTCAAGATCCATTGTTTTGCACTTTCACTCCAACTCGGTAAGTTTACTTCCGGTGGGACAATGCTACTGTTGGATGCAAGAGAGACACTACTGGATAGCGGTGTTCCTGTGGACACCATACTGATACTTGGATGGTCAGTCTTCGCTCTGCTAGATTGAATTGGTGAGGTGGTCAGAGGAGGCGTGCTGTCGATGCTGGATGATGCTTGGGCAAGGCTTGATGAGCTTGGGGATGGAGACCACTGTACAGAGGAGGACGAATGATGAAGCACACCAAAGGAACTAGCTGAGTAACGAATAGATGGCATACTAGGGGTAGCAGAATAGGCACTCGAAGAAACACTCCTGACCGACAACGAAGAGGACGAATGATGAAGCACACCAAAGGAACTAGCTGAGTAACGGATAGATGGCATACTAGGGGTAGCAGAATAGGCACTCGAAGGAACACTCCTGACAGACGACGATGAGGTTCTGAATGACTCAACAGAAGACGATGTGGGTATATGCACCAACGATGTACTTGAGAAGCTAGCTGGGAAAAGTGTGTATGGCAAACTAGAGGAAACTGAATACAGGCTTGAGGAAGAGCTCTTCATTAAAGATGATGATATACTTAAAGAAATAACAGAAGATGATGATAATGATGAAGCTGGAATTGACCAGGCAAATGATGATGATAGAGAAACTGTTGCTGATGCTGCTGCTTCTGTTGATGTTGAAATTAAAGGTAGTAACTGTTGTGTAGATTGTAATATTTGGGAGGACGATAGCGCTAAAGTGGTGCAATTGCCTCCAGACCAGCCTTGTAAACAAATCTTTTCCCCCGATGTATGATTACATCTGTAATGTCCTTGTTCATCGTTCTTTTCCTTGCAGAAATTCTGGCAGTTCTTTCCATACCAGTAAGAATGACACACTTTGGATCCAGTTAATGGACTACAGTTATAATGACCTTCTGGTCCATTCCT